ATCTGCTGAAATGGTGCATTTCAGAGGACGGGTTAATGTGTGGTGACAGCTCCGGTGATGTGCGTTGTATCACACACTGCCGGAGCTGTCTCTATTTATACTCTTTTTTCAACTTTATGTGGAGTGTACAATTGTGTACACTCCATTCAGGTCCCCACATGGCAGCGTGGTGCACTGTGCTGCCATGAGGCGGATTGCTGTGGCATGCATGCAGCATGTAGAATGCAGCATGTTTGCGTTGTATCACAGCACAGTGACCACTGTGTTGTAATGTGAATGGGACAATTGTTTTCTACGTGTCCTTGTGGTGACCGGCAAAAATTCAGCTTGCATGTTCTCTCCCCAGGCAATGGTAGGAATCATACCTCAGATATTTGAGAAACTTTGTAAAAATCTTAGATTCATGGTAAGTGACTCATAAGCACATGAGCGGTGAGGCTGGGCCCAGGACATAGAATGAGACATCTTTCCCTAAAGGTACCCATACACCTTACAATTATCGTTCGATTTTCATCCACGATCGCGGTTTCAGCGGATAATCGGTCAGTTGATGGGAATTGCACAACCGCAAATACTGGACAACTAGCCAAATTTTGTCTATCGGGCAGCTAAGAAAACTCTTCAAAACTAACAGAAATCGATGGGTTAGTGGCATTTTCGTACATCAAAAATCGCAAGATGAACACTGCATATGCGCAAAGAAAATCTGTTCTGCCGATCAACGAAATTGGACAAGTTAGTATTGCTGACAAACGATAATCAAAATCTGCATTGGTCTGTGCATGATGGGCTATGTGAATACAAATTTAACAAGGGTGCGATGTCGGGACAAAATAAATTGTACAATTGTTGTAAGGTGTATGGCCACATTCATTCTTTTTTTTGCAGAAATAGTTTTTAGTAAAGATTTTCACAGACAATATAATGTAAAAACATACAGATGTCAGCAAAAGTGGCCACCTTAAAGGTGCCCATACACTGCACGATTATCGTACGAGAATCGCGGGAAATCCCACGATCGTACGATAATCGCAAAGTGTATGGAAGGCGCGACCGTTTCTACTGTACGGTTGCACGTCTTTTGTATAAGGAACATGTTCGATAACCAGCCGAAAATCTTAGGATTTTCGGCTGGTTTGTGGCATGCTCAGGAGACAAATGCCGAACAGGCCGGTGTGCGCACGCGCACACTGCCCATTCAGCATTGCGGTCATCGGAAGTCCGCCCCTCCGTAGGGCGGGCTTGCGATGATCACAAGTATCTGCCTGTCCAAGATGGGCAGATCGTACGTTTTTTAAATTACTTTACAACCCTCGCAAGACAAAAGTCTTGCGAGGGTTGTAAAGTGTATGGCCACCTTAATTCTATCACATGATGAGCCTGAAGCTTTTCCTAAACAGGAGGAGGGAACATGGGGATCGTGAGTGCTATTACTCGCAGCTGGGGCTAGTAGAGGACAGTTTAAATAGTGCTGGGCTGGGAGGAAAGGAAGTATTTCTCTTTTCAGAATGCAGTCTGCAGTGGTGCGAGAGTGCTTGGTGCTCAGTATCTGGCTTTTCTCCGCTGTCCAGGCAGAAAAACGTGAGTGTATTTCTCTTATGATTAATGAGCTGAGCTTATTTTTAAATTGTGCATCTGCTTTGACATGTAAATTCTTACATACATGCAACACTGCCGTTATAACTAGTCCTGTTTGAAAAAGAAGAGGTATGCGGTTCTGTAGTACATGTTATGGCTCTACATGTCCTAAAATATAATATGATGGGTTGCACAAATACTGTATCTATTTACTGTGTTCATTCTCCAGGCCAAGCAAGTGCCCTTATAACTCCCTAAAATGGTTATTATCGAGGAGGAAGGCTGGTGACTCACTTTGCTGTTGCCCTGAAATACCATCACTCCTGTAGGGTAGTCTTAATATAGCTTTTCTGGGTGTGTGTTTGTCACTGGTCTGACACTGGAGGGCTACCAAAAGAAACAATGGTAGAATGGCTGATAGAAGTAGGTGATTTTGTGATTTGAAAGAGGAAATGTGCAAATGCATATAATCACAAAGTGTACCTGTTGGTATTGGAATCACTGTGGTAAATCTTTTAGAAGATGTCATGCTATGAACGCTAGTGTTCTAGAACTGGAGTTAGTGTGAGAAACTCTTGGGGCATTCCATGGCCTTAAAACCTGCAACCTACAAATCTCACTGACTTCTCCTGCTCAGAAAATTGTAGCTGACTAAAGCTGTCATTCAATGCATCTCTGTTCTGCTCCATGTACAACCGATTGGCACTGCTAATTGACCGATGTGTGAGGATATCAATATATTAGCTTTCATACTGGCTTTATTGCCTAGTTGACGGCCTTCTAAAGAAGTATGTAGCAAGTGAAGCCAGAACTTTTCTGCACAATTGTCTTAGCCTAGTAGTTGGTGCCTGGGGTGGGGGTTGTTGGCAGCACCCTTTTTCCATAGGTTTCCTGTAAGCTTGGTTCAGCCATTGCTCCTCGAAGATGCTAAATGTGTCTTGCAAAAGCATGTAAAAATCATTCAGCATTTGCAAGCTTGTGAAAAAATCTGTAATGCATTGCTAAATCATATTACTTTCCATCACTGTCGGATATTAGGAGATGAAGCACTTGTGTTTTCTCTACAGGCTTCAAAGATATGGCAGAGTTCGGAAGGACTGGCCACAACTACCACATACGTGGCTGGTCCCCAGACAGCAGCTCTTGGGATGAGAAGCTTTATCCTGCCTGGAAATCTGGGGATCCCAGATGGGAGAACTGCTGGAGAGGTAATATCTAAGCTGCCACATACAGTTGTATCTCTTGCCCTAAAGGTTTTTAGGTGCAAAATATGAAATCTGACAATCTTATCTTTCCACCTTAAAACCTACCATGGGGTGCCAAATACCTGTGACTCAGCAGCTCCCCTTTCTCAGAATTGATAGAATTTCAATGCTAAACTGAAACCGGAATAGTGTTAATCTTCCAGTGGGAACACTTGTTAAATGACTACTGCCCCAAGATGGTGGTTTCCTTCTTTTGTCCTCTTAAGAAGGGACATCTCCCCAATGGGACAAATACAGAAAAAAAACAAATCAACAGGAGTTTTAACAATTTCCTGTTAAGTTAATTTTAACATTTGAGCATCAGGTATAATATATAAATAGCCCAAGGTCTACTCCTAGTGTAAGCTCTTTGTGTATAAATGTTTTGCCTTCAGTTGCTATGACTGTATTTTGGCTTAATATGGTCTCTAGTAAACGGCCGTGCTGAATGAGGGTAGTATGTGACTCCCTTTCATTCTAGTGGCATCATGGCTGTATAGAATGCCTAAGGTCATATTGTGTCAGACTTGGCTGAAATGTGCAGCAGTTTGTGGAAGATAATGGCAGATATTTACAAATGGTGACACCTTGTTATAAGCCAGTAGGTGCAGGTCCTGCTAGGTAACAGGTACCATTACCACATGTGATGTGCCTTGTCCTTATAACTGACTTTATTCTTCCTTTTTAGGTGGCAAAGTAGTGGCGCTGTTGACCAGTGACAGTCCTGCACTGATAGGGTCAAATGTTACGTTTGCTGTGACTCTGCAGTTTCCCAGATGTCAAAAAGAGAATGAAGATGGGGATATAGTCTATGAACGAGGGTGTGGAAATGGTAAATATAAGCATTTCAGCATATTTATTATTGTGATGCAGATGGCTGGCTTTCTCTAATCTGCTTATTTCAGTTACCTTTAGTGATCAGTATGTGTATAACTGGACCAAATGGATACCCTTCTGTAATGAAGGAAACTGCAGTTTTCCCAACAAGTTTCCAGATGGAAGACAATTTCCTCACCACCATGACTGGAGGCGCCATAACTTCATCTATGTTTTCCAAACACTGGGTTGGTATAGTCATGGGTTTCAGTTGGGTGGTGGTGGGGGTGTGTGCGAAGGAAACGTATATCTGCAAGAAAATGTCCAAGTGTAGTAAATCAGGCACCTGCCACACTATGAGCAAGCTTTTACAAATTTCTTCTTCGATCAGTTTACTAGCTGAGCTTTGTCCAGTGAACAAGAGATGTGACCTAGGAAGTTGCACCTGGAACCTTTGTTGCCTGCTTGGCTGTGGAGGTGTGTAAATGTCTGCCAGATGACGACTTCTATACAAATAGTAGACGTGCATGTATTTAGCAGCTTGCCTGGGGTTTTTGGGCCATACCGATAACTTCATAAATGATTGGATTTGGGTGAGGAGTATTAAAATAGTTGTAAAGTCCTAAAATTATGCCTTCATTTGTGATGAATGTTAACTGTAATCCTTCTGTTTAGACTGGCTATGATCACTCTTCACACACGTATATTTCTGCATAAACTAGATGGGGGAGACCCCAGTCACTTGGCACCTTGTTATGAACACTTGGGTTTTGTATGGGGCTTTTCTGAGTTTCTTGCATGGGATAACTCTCTATTTGGGTAGTTTCAAGTGCTTCAGTCTTTCCTTTCTCAAATTCCTGGGCCTGACTATCAGTTCTAGGAAAGTAAAGCTAAATGCTGTAGGAGCAAATTTTCATGGGTGATTAAAGAGGGAGACTGACACTGGGGATGTTTTCTCCATCCAGGTCAATACTATCAGACAACTGGAAAATCTATGGCTGCACTGTCAATTAATACTACAAACATCACAGCTGGTGCACAGGTGATTGAGGTGACTGTGTTTACAAGAGGCTATAAAAGGCATCATCCTGTTGCTAAAGCAAGCGGCATGTACATTGTGACAGGTAAGCTTCTAGATGCTGATGATAAACTGGCTAAATCATAATGTGTGTCCCCATACTGCAATAAGAAGCTAATGCATTATAGCCTTAATTACACCCCTCTTTGTCGCCGGGGTGTTTTTATTTTTTATTTTTTTTAGATCAAATTCCATTCTATGTGAACATTTCCCAGAAAAATGACAAGAATTCCTCTGACCACCTCTTCATCAAAGATTCTCCAATTGCATTTGATGTTAAAATTCATGACCCAAGTCATTACCTCATGACATCTACATTTTCTTTCAACTGGAGCTATGGTGATGGCAGTGGATCCTTTGTTTCCAATAACCCAGTCTCCACTCATACTTACACCTTGTCTGGGAACTTCAGCCTGAACCTAACCATCAAAGCTGCTGTTCCAGGACCCTGTAAACCAGTTACACCTACTCCCCTTCCTACAACACAGGCACCAACTACACAGTTGCCAACAACCACCATGCCTCCTACCACTGCAAATTCAACCGGTAAGTTCTTCCCAGTAAAGGTATTAGTTGCAGGTTTGTATCGCACTATAACAGATTTGTGAATGCAACAGAGTGGGACATCTTAACTTAAAGGTGGCCAGGAACCCTGGTTTAATCTTGCACCTGGAATAGAAAGGTGCACAAAGTTGAGTGACTTGACTAGCCTGGCTTTGGGTTAAACTGAAATGTGACCCCCCTTAAAAGGGATCTCTTGAGAAAGCTGGTTGCTGGCTGTCATCCTGATGCTTTGATTTCAATGCAGTCTTGAGTCGCTGACCCACGAGTGCAGTAGTATTATGATGCTCATTTATACCATGTTTTGTACAGTCTGACTTAAAGGTACTTGAGCTGGGTATCTAGGATTCCTTGAAGGAGGCTTTCAATAGTTCATCTTCTACTTCTCTTTGTCCCTTAGAGCTACTAAACTGTCAAACATAAAGCATAAACTTGTGTTTAAAACTTGTCCAATCTTACTTTCTGTCCATAGGAAACTCAACTGAATTGCCACCCTTTGAAACTGAAACCTTTCCACTAAATACAGAAGAACATAATTATAGTACCAATGCTATCCCTACTACCCATACTATCGCCACAACCTATACAACTACAGTGCCCACTACCCCTGTTCCTGGATGCTTTATCTACAGATATGGCGACTACAGCACCAAAATTACAGTTACAGGTAGGTTGCAAGAATCATTCAACATGTTTTAAATGCTTCAGATTGTTTACTCAGTTATTTTTTTTTTTTCTTCTCCAACTAGATGGCATCTTAAGTGTGAATATTATTGAAATGAACACTATCAAAGTGTCCTCCCAAGCTGAAAACGCTTTAATTGATTTTGTGGTGTCTTGTGAAGGCAGGTAGGTGTGCTTGAGGTTTTTTTTTTACAAACTGTTAAAGATGGGTTAGTGCCGAAATGAGGCCCTAGGCACAGTAGCAGCTTGGGTCCCCATCTCTTAATAGGCAATTGCGATGGACACAAAGCTGCCCCCTCCTTTTTTTTTACTAGTACAGCCCCTCCCACCTGACAACTTTAAGTCTGTAATTGTGAATTGGCAAGACAAATTCAATTCACCTACTGGCTTACTGCAGGAAAAATAAGGTAACTGGGCCCACTTGACTTCTGCTGGTCCCTAGGCACCTGCTCTGTTGGTAGCTAAATGTCGTTTTTGTTTTTTCTTCCTAGCTTGCCTACAGATGCTTGCACAATTGTTTCAGATGCTTCTTGCATGATTCCTCAGAACATGGTATGTGATGAGGTCCCAGCTTCAGACCAGTGTCTACTGACCCTACGAAGAACATTTGCAGAGCCAGGATCATACTGTGTCAATATTACACTAAGTGATGATGCAAGTCTAGCTCTTGCTAGTACCCTGGTCTTTGTAGATGGTGGTAAGTGTAACGTAGTGTGTATATGTTTTTTATAGGGTGGAAGGTGTTTTTTTCTTAAAATGGGGGGGGGGGGGCAATATCCTTTTTGCGTAGAGTAATTATTATTTTTTAAGCCCTGCAGACTGTACTAGGGCACACAGTCTTGGTGTTATGCCACAAATTCCAAATCCCATTCACACTACTGCGGACCATTAGTTATATGTGGTGCCCAGATGACCACACGGATGGCGCCATGCAAACACTGGTAGTAAATAAAAGTAATTCACCGGCACAGACTTGAAGAATTTTTTAAAGTATTGATATGTTCACGTGTGTGCCGGTGAATTACTTTTTATTAGTGTTATGCCAGACACATATAAAGTAATTTACTAAGACATGGATGCAGGACCCTCTCAAGGTCTAGGTGGGGGTCTCAATGCACAAATCTGATTTTAACTATGCACGGTGCATTAGGTCTGTTGTCTTCTAGGGCAGGTGCATTGGGGTGCCATAAATTGATGACAATGCACATCTCTGAATTAGTTAGTGTTGGAGTCTTGAATCTTAAAACTGAACATCCATACTACATCTTCACTAGAATTACTTAGCCAGTGAGTCTTTGGAGTAATTAGAAGCACAGCCTGTGTGTGTGTGTCCCAGTAGTGTTATCTGTGCTCCATTGAGTTTTAGTTACTGCAGTGCAAAGGATACAGCTCCTTAAAGTGCTAATTGCATAACTCTCAAACAATAGTGAACCCAATTTCAATATACCAACCTAGCAATAGCGGATTATTCCACACCCCTTTCACATTTTATTTAGGGACATCTTGATAAGGGGATAAACTAAAGCTTTCTTTGTCCTAGGCTCCGGAACAAATACTGTCTACGTTGTCCTGACTATGTTTGGATTGGCTGTCCTTGTTGCCACAGTGGTCGCTATCATTCTGTACAGGTGAGTGCTCCAGCTGTGTGGTTAGTTTGCCTTGGTTTTCACACCACCTAGGTCTAACTTTTTATTACAGGAAGAAATGAGCTTGAGCTAGGTGCACACACTTGACATTTAGGCCTTGTTCACACCAAGCGCATTCCATGAGCAGTTACAGACCGGAGCTAAACTGCGTCCAATGTATTCCAATGGTATATTTGGCTCCAGTTCACATCGCATCGTTCCAGAGCAGGTAAAAAAACTGCAGCAGGCCCTATTTTACCTGCTCTGGAATGCACTGAAAGCCCATTTTAAACTAAAACATTTTTTTAACCAAAAATGGCCCGAATGCAGCAAAAAACACAGCACAACCCACTGCACGTGCAGATCTGCTCTGCATTTGGTGTGAACAAGGCCTAACATAACTGCCTCTTTGCCATGCATGTAGATTTGTCAGAGTTCTGATTAAAAATGGCTGACAGTCAGTGGTTGAGGCATGTGAAGGTGTCAGTGCCTCGAAGAGCAGAGATCAGAAGTGGGACTGGGGAGACAAAGGGTTCAAATGGGAAGAAAAAAGGCCAGAGGTTTAGGTTCTGGCAAAGGGACAATGGGTGTGTATAAGGGGGGATGGGAGGGACCTGACTGCTACAAATGAGCATAAAGGTTGCTGTAAGTCCTACAGTTGATTCTGTTTAAAAGTGTACCATAGTCATGAAGGCATTCCAGATGCTCCACATGGAGGTATACTACTGCTCAAATATGTCATGTATCTGGACCATGAGTTCCTCCATGCATTGCAGGTGATGAGTTAGTCATTCATATACAAAAGGAGGGTGGAATGTGTGATTTCCAATGCTTCAGTATTGCCACTCTGGCTGCCAGAAGAGAACTTTTTTTTTTTTTTTTCCTGCAAACATACAAGAATCTGACTTTTTGGATAGAAAATGACAACACTTGCACAATTGTATATGTTCTATGAAAGCAGAGGCCCTGTACAATGAAATGGCAGCTATATGTTTTTTGGTGACCACCATCCCCCCCCCCACTAACAATCTGTACAGATGGTCATGGCAGCTCTTTTCAGCATGCAGTGTCAGAATAGATCCTTTACAATTGCATGGTCCCTCACTAATAAGGCTTTAACATTTTTTATTTTTAGGAAATCCAAAGAGTATAAGCCCATAAGAAATGCTACAGATGAAAGCGGTGTTCAGATCAGTGTGTACTTCAGACAAGTCAAAGAGACCTTCTTTCATGGAAACAATGAGCATGATCCACTTCTGAAAAACAAAGCTGGAATTGTATAGACCTGTACTACTATGTTGTCCTTGCACTGTGTAAATTTACATAGTCTCAGATTGCTGGTACTGACAATGTTAATTAACAAGGGGTACAACAAATAAATGCTCACTCCTGTAAAATGGTGTTTGTTTTTTTTTGTTTTTTCCCCCCCCCCCCCCCTCCTTAGAACGAAACACTAACAAAACAACACC